CCGCGCCGCCCGTCGCCTGGTCCTGGGTGGGCTGGCTCCAGATGGGGGCCCCGGGTACACGGAGGTTGGCACTGTTTTGGGGTGGCCGGGGCGCCTGATCGGCTGTGCCCGCTGAGCGCTGCGGAGCTTGCTCGGGTCTCCGAGGGCAGAGCCCTCTTGGGCGCACAGAGGTTCGGGGGAACGTGTGAGTAGGGGCCCTTAGGCGCCGCCCGTCGCCTGGTCCTGGGTGGGCTGGCTCCAGATGGGGGCCCCGGGTACACGGAGGTTGGCACTGTTTTGGGGTGGCCGGGGCGCCTGATCGGCTGTGCCCGCTGAGCGCTGCGGAGCTTGCTCGGGTCTCCGAGGGCAGAGCCCTCTTGGGCGCACAGAGGTTCGGGGGAACGTGTGAGTAGGGGCCCTTAGGCGAGTTTGGAAATCTTTATTTGCAAAGTAGAGCTGGAGTTGTAGTGATGGAGAACAGAGCGCGCTCTGGGCAAGCCAGGTGTCTGAGACCGTGATCCCTTGCCCGCAGCCGAAGGGGAGGGGTACAAGAATGAAAAAGTGTCGCTCCAGAAGGGTCTTGACACTTGCTCCGGATCCTTGGGTCCGGCGGATCGCGCGTCCGCTGTGCCGAGTAGATCTCGGGTAGGGAGGTGAGTAGGGTGCGCTGGTACGCGGGAAGTGCGTCTAGCTGGGTGCGCAGGTGTCTCGGCGGGAAGCTGCAGGGCGCGGTGCCGGCAGCGCGGGCGCTCAGGATGTAGGTGGAGCACTAGCGGGGACTTTCGGCTCTGGTAGTCTCGAGTCTGGGTGATTCATCCCGGGGGCGCCGCTCCTGGAGGGGACTTGGAGGCTGCTGTGATGCAGCCGCTGCTCCCGGACCGCTGCCTCATGACCGCTCTGCAGCCTCTGGCTCCCGCGCGCGTCGCATGCCTTGCATGGGGCAGCTGGCGAAGGAAGGGGTCGGAATGGAGAGGAGAATGTGGGACCTTCTCTTGGGATGCTAGAACGCACTAGGTCTGGCTGTGGGCGCAGGTCATCGCGGTGGCACCACGCGTTCCTTTGCTCTTGGTCTTTCTCTGGCTGTGGCCTTCCTGAAGTGTCTCGGAGTGGCGGGCGCTGTGAAGGCAGCCTTTTATAGTGCGTTCCCTCCGCCTCCTACCCGGTTTCCTCCTTCCTCCTCCCGAGCCAGCCCAGCCCTTCCCTCCCCAGGAACACAGCTGTGGTCTAGGCGTTCGCACGTGTGTATTTCACAAATTTCCAAACCCACCTCACCTCCGGGACCGCAGTGCCAGCAGGGTGAATCCTCGGAATGAAATTTTAAAAATAGAACTTTCTTAGTGGTCATGTCTGGCTTCTCCCTATCTGCCTCACCTTATGTTTGCATCCTAAAAACTGGTAAAGGATTCTTAATTCACCTACTTTCCAGTTTCACGCCTTTATGCAGGGCATCTCAGCCAAGGCTTAACCACGTTAAGTCAAATTCTTAATACCATTTCGAAAGTTCCTCGGGACACCGTGGCATTTTGCAAAATTTAAATAGCTAGCGCTGTTTAAGGTGCGATATGCTGGCTGGGTTTATTTGTATCCGGCAAAGGAAGGGCTAGCTGCGTCTTTAAAGATGCCTAAAGCATCTTTAAAATTCTAACCAGGCTCAGCATCTCATTAATTAATTGGCAGCTATTTTTAGAGTGTGTTACACCCCCCCAACACGCCTTTGTTTTTTCTTTCTTTCTTTTCTTTTTTTCTGTGCAGGGAGAGGGAGACGTTTGGAGGGGATGGATGCTTTAGAGTTTTAGGTGGCCTGAACTGACTGGTGTCTTATTTTGTTCTCCAGGCTTTTAAAATGCCAATAATTGACAACTGGGATGCTGAGGGGGAGAATTTGAAACAATACCCCGTCCCTGGTTCAGATGAGAGATCAAAGAGTGGATCCCAGCAGCTTTCAAATCCAGTGAGGTTCTTCCTGTGTGTTTTCTAATTAGAATTTCTTAAAGGTAGTGGTAGAAGCAGCCACATAGTGGAATACATAAAAATTTAGATAGCAAAGTAGAATCCCATGGCCAAAGGCATCTTAAGGATGGCTCTAACCTCTGGTTGTGTCAGCTTGTGATGTGGACACAGGGCAAATGACTTTCCTATTGCCAGCAGCAGGCTGGTCTAAACCACAATTCAGGGGCTGCTGTGTCCTGCAATTTCTTTTTCACACACACAATCCCCACATATGAGCCTCAAGTGCCTTCCCTCTCATCTAAAGGTAACACATTTTTTCATCCTAAGGAAAAGTGACTTTTAAAAGACTGCAAAGAAACCCTTGCGATGAATGTAAATTCTTGTAAAATTGTAAATGGAGATTTGGAGATCAAAGTGTTTGTAAAATGTTGTAAAACTTGTAAATTGAAATTTGGGGCAGATGTCTTTATTAAATGTTAAAAAATGTATGAATGAATCCCGTTAAAGTTGCTTCATGCTGGGCGATCCAAATTCCAGGTGAGTTTATATTCTAGTAAGTGCACATAAGTAGCACTGATAAACTGATTCTCTAGGACTGAAGTTGCCAAACAAGACTTCCAGCAGTTTTCTGCTGTTGAGGGCTGAGGGAACACTGGCTTAACATTTTTGTGAAGACAGAACTACAAAGTTAATAGCTGAAAGAAATTAAATTTCAAACACGTTTATGAAATCATGCCATTAGATGAAAGTTGATGAAAGTTTAAAAAATCCTACCTGTTTCAGAATCCCTAATAGCTCTGCATTAATGCCTTTGTTATGGATCTTGCTACACTCTTGCAGAATGTATCCGTTTGTGTATCTTTCTACTTACCACACCTAGATCAGGGTTACCTTTGGGGTAGAACATTTGGGACCCTAGTCTTCTTCCAGGATTCAGTTTTCTTCTTCCTGGGCTCATAGTGAGGGAACACTTTCCAGCCACGTTTGGGTCTGTGTGTGTTACAGTTTAGATCTAAGATTACCCCCAAGGTTCGGAAGTTATCAGGGGAATGAATTTGACCTGTACAGTGTTCTCTTCCCTGGCTCTTCCCTTCTCTCCGCTTACTGTTGTCTAGGCCGTGAAGAGGTTTCCTCTGCAATGCTATTCTGCCTTGCTGTTTCTGCCTTAGATAGGGCCAACCATGGATTCAATCTTTCAGAACTGTGAACCAAAATAAACCTCTCCACCTTTAAATTGTGGGTCTTAGGGATTGTGTCTCAGTGACAGGAAAACTAACTATGACAATATAGGACTATAGGGCTGTGCTACTTTCTGGTCTGGCTTTAAGACATCCTCAATGAGTAGTTGTATCCATCTGTCTTCCCTTTCCGCTGCTCAAATGAGAGCTATTGGATCTTATGTATGTGGGAAATACTCTCTTTTGATTCAAAGATACTGGGGTTTGGGATGTTTGCTCAGCAACTAGTTTTGCCTACCCCGACAAATACATATCAGGGACATGTGCCACATTATCCTTAGGTTTCCAGAGCTGAGTCCTGTGCTTGACATAAAAAAGTTGCTCAGTTTAAAAAAAAAATGTATGTAATAAATTTGGTGTTTTGTAAACCCTACTTGATAAAGTAGCTTTCCTTAGAGTTCCTTCCATAGGTGTCTAGCATATGAATATTATTAGCTCTTCTGTCTCTTGGTTGCACTATACCCTCGTAAATTTTGTCTTCATTATAAAAGTCCCAGTAACATGACAGCCCAGCTTATTTGACTAGAATGTTTGGAGAAAGTTAGAGAGATTAACCACAAACTGGAGCACCTATTATTATCACCGAAGAGATTGTAGTCTCCTTATGACCCCTTATATCCCAAATTTTATTGCTTTTACTTCAAATTTTACTAAAGACTGGCTCAAGACAACAAAAACAAGGAGAAAATATACCAAATCTTCACATACCCATAACCTACCTTCAATAAAACTCATGGCCAATCTTGTCTTCTATATAGTAGTCCCTCTTATTTGTGCTTTTGCTTTCTGTGGTTTGAGGTTTTGTGGGGCCAACGGTGGCATGAAAATATTAAATTGAAAATTCCAGAAAGAAACATCTCATAAATTTTAAATTGTCTGCCATTCTGAGTAACATAACAAAATTTTTTGACATTCCTCTACATTCTGCCTGGGATGCTGACCATCCCTATGTCCAGTATACCTGTGCTATTTGCTCTTAGTCACTTAGTGGTCTTCAGATTGGCGGGCATGGTATTGCCGTGCTTGTGTTAAGTAAGCCTTGCATATCAGCATTAGGTATTGCCGTGCTTGTGTTAAGTAATCCTCGCATATCAGCCTAATGCTATGTCACAATGCTTGTATCGTTGACCTGACTTTATCAAGTAGGCATTGTACCACCTTACATCATCACAAAAAGAAGGCTAAGTGTGGTACCAGGAGATGGAGAGAGAGAGAGAGAGAGAGAGAGAGAGAGAGAGAGAGAGAGAGAGAGAATATTATTATAGTTGTTCTATTGTTTACTTTTGACTGCACTGGTTTATAAAATAAACTTCACTATAGGAATGCATGTATAGGGAAAACATGATACATATAGGGTTTGGCTCTACCTGCAGTTTCAGGTACACATGGGAGCGGGGAGAGAAGGGAACAAGGAGGGATACTGAATCTTGTGAACGTCCTGCTTCTCAGATTATTTTGAAGTAAACCCATGACTTTGTAACATTTCATTTGTTCACATTTAGTGTGTATCTCAAAAAGGTAAGAGCTCAAATTAAAAATTTTAAAAAAGTATGCATATTGTATATGGGCTTTAAAAGTAATTTGAAAGGTCAAAACCAGAGACTTTTTCTAGTGCAAAAATTGATTAGCATTTATTTAGGGATTGTGGTAGAGACTGTTGTGCGTTCACCCACCACTCCAGTTTCCTCATCTTGGACATCCCGTAGAGTATCTCTGGTATTATGTTCATTTAGGTACAGTCATGTGACTGAGTTTAGGGCAATAGAATGTAGGTGGAGGTCATGTGTACAACCTTCTTCATCGAGTCCGTAAAAATCTCCTTTTCCCCCTTTATATGTTGGCTGCATATTTCTGTCCAGCATGATCTTAGAATCTGGTCCTTGCAGCAGAACCCTTACTAGACTCCCCAAATTTCCCCAGAGTATTCTGATTGAGGAATTGTGTGATATAAAAATAAACTTTTATTTATTTTGTGAAGCCACTAAAATTTGAGACAATGTTCTGAGACAGAATTTTTCTTTAGCAGACTAGAACACACATATTTTTTGTCTTTGTTGGCCATAAGGATGCTGTGAAGCTGCTCAACTGATTTTTAAGCAGGAAAGTATTCCTAGAAAATAGGCGTATGAATGGATGAGGGTGTATTTTAATAAAACACAGAAGTAAGCATCTGGACCACATGACTTATTTTGATAACTTTTGGTCTAACTCCTGTTCTAAGAGACTAGCACAGCTTACCACCTTGTCTTAGATGCTGTATGTGAAGGAATTACAGCACAGTGTAGTTCAGAAGGACTCCGCTTACTAGCCATGTCACCTTTTGGGCAAATTATTTTACCTCCCTTTATCTCAGCTTCTTCATCTGTAAATCAGAGCCAAGAATGCCTACTCTGGGACTGCTGTGAAGTTCAACCGTCACTCCTACATGTAGCACAAGGTAAATGGTTCCATGTTTCTGTATCTAAAAATGAAGCATCCTATATCCTGTCCTCAAGGGGCAGGGGACTTATCTCCTCCTTCACTTCTGAATTCACACAGAGGGTGCCCCATAAATATATTCAATGAATACAACTTAAGAAAAAAAACTGCAGAAAGTTGTAGCTCAAGTGAGCCTTAGAGGTAAACTGTAAGTCTTCAAGGAAACACTAACAATAAGCCCAAAGTGTTTTCCTATAAGTATCTCCTTTGAACTATGAAGGGGTCACAGCAATCCAAAGTGAGAAAATCACCACTGCCTGAGGCCCTCCCAGGGTCTCCCACCCCTGAGGGCAGCTGCTGGTTATGTTGGACACCTGGACTTCTGCTCCTAGTGTTTCAACATACACAAAATGTGTGAAGGCTGAGAGGACACCTGTGTTTCTCTGCTGCACCCCAAGCCTCTCAAAATGCAACAAACCCAAGAGATCATTGGGTTTATAGCTATTTGAGGAGGTCAAGAAACTACATCCTGAGGGATAACATTCCAAGCCATAGAACAGGGGTGTAATAGTGGCCAAATATTGTTGATTCCTTGAAAGATCTTCTGAAGGTTCTTCCTTATGTAGCAGGCTCCTTTACAACGTTTCTAGTATTACTAAATGTGATGTACTGGTTTTTCATTAATGTGAAATAACTAGTCCTCATGGCTGTCATCTGTATTCCAAAGAGACCCTTTTATTGCTTTTGTGTTGTTACAGTTATTTCTGTGCAAATCCTGGAAAGCAAAATGAAATCGCAGGTAAGTTATAGCTGGAGGAGAAAAGTGCTTTGCAATTCCAAGGTTCTATGTTATGCATCATATATGCTATTTTCAAACTTCTGACAAATGGTTTCTGGACAGGAAGAGAGCATACCATTCTGTCAGAATTTAAGTCTAGATGTTGCTTTATAGACAAGGAAACAGTTCAGAGAATTAAATAGACAACAGGAACTTGGTGGCAGTATCAGGACAAGAATCCAGTGGCCAATGATCTCCCTAGTTTTCAAACTAAATTTTACAAAATTAAACAGGATGTACATATAGAAAAGTGTACACATTCTAGATGTGTAGCTTAATGGAATTCTTATTCAGCTTAGGAAACAAGGTGTTACCAGCACCCCCAGAAGCTAAATTACCAACATTCTAAGTTTTATCATCATAAGCTGATTTGCTATTTAAAAAATTAATATAGGGCCAGGGATTTAGCTCAGTGATTCTGCAGCCCACCTGTCAAGAGCAAGGACCTGAATTCAATCCCTGGTACAAAAATAAAATAAAATAAAATAATATAAAAAGTTAATATAACTTGAATGTTACAGTATACACTCTTTTGTATCTGATTTCTTATACTATATCCTGTTCTTCTCCCCAATGCTTGGTTTTGAATAATTTCACATCTATGGACAAGTTGTAAATGTAACTGACTGAACACCCATGCATCCTTGTGGTGGTCTATTAGGAGGGACTGTAGTTTCTCCACCTTTGTATCTTTAGAGCACCTTTAGAGTGTGATTTTGCAGATTCTCCCATCACAAAATGGAGACCTTCGCTCACCTTGACTCTGTGATGGACCAGTGATTTACTTTGACTAAGGAAATGTAGCACAAATGATGGACTATTTTCTGAAATTATGCTCTGGAAGACCTTACGTGTTCTCTCTCTGTCTCTTTTGCTCCCTCTACTCCCACTGATATGTAAATAATCCAAATCTAGCCTTCTGGAATAGTTACCCTGTTACCCTAGTTGAACTGTAGTTGATCACACTTAAGAGAACCAGGCCAGCTCAGGGAGCCACCCAGAGGAATCTAGTCTAAATAGAACAATAGGCTAAATAAATATGTGTTTTATGTGTGAGACAGTTACACAGTAAAAATTGCTCAATACAACCCTTCACCCCAGATACTTCAGTATGTATCCTAAGAATAAGGAGATTCGAAATCATTGTACTATAAATATTATACTCAGAACATTGAACATCAGTACAATTTCATCTAATTTATAATCCATAGTCAAAATTTCCCAATTGTCCCCACAATTTTCTTTATAGTTTTTTTTTCTGTATATAATTTAGGTGAGAATTCTTATTATATTAAATTGTCAGCATTTGATCACTTTATCAATTTTGGTCTTAAAGAGTCCTCAATTGCCTTTTTTCTTTTTGGTCTTTTGTGCTATTAAAATTTTGTTAAAGTCTAGTTAGTCCCATTGATTTTGCAAAGTGACCCTTAGTTTTATACTTGTGTGATTATTTCTCCAGGACGGACTCCACACTATGCAGGCACTCGGGGCAGGAATACTACCCCGATAATGCCATGTTGTTCTCAGTGCACTTCTTCAAGGGGTTTGGGATACTGATTGGCCTCGTTGTTGTGAAATCTGTCTCAAGATACTGAGAACCAGACTCACTTTTGTGAGATAAATAAGAAGCATATTTGATTCAGAATCTACTGATGCATTTGATTTTTTTTTAAAAGAGGAAACATGAATTCATCTAATTTTTGGGGATCCACTTCATTTATTCAAAATTGCTTGTCAACATTGTCCAATTTCCTTAGGACCCTGAGAATATTAGTGGGTGAATATCCCCAGGCTGAATTCTATGAGCCAGTTATTTTGTTTGCTATAATCAAAGGACATTATCAATTAATTCTTCATAGCTCTGCCTCAAACTCTTATTTTGTTTGTTTGTTTTTTTTTTCGGGGGAGCAAGTCAGACTTGATGTAAGACAAAGGAGAAATAAATTGCTTATTAGTCAAAATTAACAGTGATTTTTAAATAAGTATTTTAGCTTTTTGATGCTTCTCTCTTCCTCTTCTTCTTCTTCTTCTTCTCCTTCTTCTCCTTCTTCGCCTTCTTCTCCTTCTTCCTTTTTTCTTCTTTCTTCTTTCCTTTTTTGCAGTGCTGAAGATTGAACCCAGAGCCTTATGCACATGCTAGGCAATTATTCTACTACTGACTCCATCTCTAGCTTGTGATGCATTTTTAAAAACAAGGAATCTAAATTCACCTTAGAGAAATTAAGAAGAGTTCAGTCAAAAGAAGAAAACTCCAATGGGCTGAAAATGTTAACTCTTTTCTAACAACTAAAGAAGAGTTGAAATAATCTTTTCAACAATTGCAGGTGAAGATATATCTGAAAAGCTGAACCTGGTAAATTTGCATTTAGAAAGGGTATAATCCAGCAGTTCCTCAGCAGAGAAAGTTCAAACTGACACCTCTAAGGTGCTACCTCTGAGACATCTTCACTGAGAATAGCCGTGCAACTGCCTAGTTCCAGCATCTTTACTCGTAAACACAGGATATCATCGTCAAGGTGGGTGGCAAGGATTTCACAAAGATCCAGGGCACAGTGCCTCATTTGCGAGCCAGATGTGTCCAAACTGAAATCTGAAGATTCTCACTTGTAAACTCTAAACAGGATGATGAAAGTTAGATGAGAAATAGCCTTGTGGAGGGATAAGCATGAAAGAACTGTTTATAAATTTTTAAAACTTTGGTGTGATTGTTATTTTATAAAGGTCAAAATTTTCCTTTATCTGATATCTATCTTGGTTCTGAAATTACAGTTCAGTAAACAGCTTTTGACTTTTGTTCAAAATAAATGAAGAATAAAGAGTTAGGCTTTGTGATACAGATTTTATACGTTGGGGCCATGAAAGCCAAGTAGTACTTTAAAGAAATATTTTGATTACTCATAAAGATTGAAAGATAAACTATTTTTATGTGTGTATCTGTGTATATCTGTAAGAATCATGTAATGGTGATATCCAGCATAAAATTTTGAGAAAAAAATTAAATTTATATTAGTCAGGGAAAGTGATATTTGTTATAACAAACAATCCCCAAATTTCAATTAACCCAACAAAAACTCATTTCTTACTTTTAGCACAGTGCTTTGAATACCAAGAATACTTTGGTATTCAAAGGACAGCCTTAGTTTAAAAGACTCCTACTTAGTGGCTATACATTTTCTAGAACATTCACCCAGAAGACACAGGAAGAGAGAGAGAGAGAGAGAGAGAGAGAGAGAGAGAGAGAGAGAGAACATATCTGGAGAATTTCTCAGGATCCTTTAAGGGGCAGAACATATGCCATTGGCCAGAGCTTGGTGACATGGTCTCACCCACTTGCAAGACTGGGAAATACAGAATTACTGTATTAGAAAAAGAAATAAGTGTACCAGATGTATGGTGCTGTTCCCACACAGAATTACTTTCTCCAAAACTCATTTCCAACAGAATGTGAGCACAAGCATATATCATGGATGAACAAGAGCAGGCGTCAACAATTGCTTCCTAAAAGCACTAGATTGTAAATATTATCAACTTGGTGGGACAAGAAAAAAGGCAAGTAGTACATGTCTATAAATCTCAGTATTCCAGGAGGGTGAGCCAGGGGACCTCAAGTCTGAGTCCAGCTTGAGCAACTTAGTGCCTTAGCCAAACACTGTCTCAAAACGATATGTAGTTATGGATATATAGCTATGAATATATATAGCTCAGTAGCTCAATGGGAAGGCCTTGGGTTTAATGTACAATAACAAAGAAGAGGAGAAGAAAAAGAAGGAGGAGAGGGAGGGAGAAAGGAAGGATTAAGAAGAGAAGGAGGAGAAGAAAAAGAAGAAGGAGGAAGAGAAGAGGAGGAGGTGATGGTGGTGTAGGAGGAGAAGGGGGAAAGATAGAGGAGGAAGATAAAAAAGAAGAAGAGAGAATGGGAGGAGGTGGAAGGGGAGGAATCGAGGACATATCTACTTATATAACCTTTTAAAATACAGAGTCTTGCTGGGAATGGTAGCACATGCCTATAATCCTAGCCCTTGGGAGGCCGAGACAGGAAGATTGCCATAAGTTTGAAAGCACCCCAGGCTACTTAGTGAGCTCAAAATCAGCCTGCAATATATAGCAAAACCCTGTCTCAGAAACAAAACAAAATAAAACAAAAAAATGCCAAAAAGCAAAACACTGTTCTTACCTCACAGAGCATAAAAGAAGTATGGAAGGAGGATTTGTCCTATATGCTATAACTTGCTGCTCCCTGGACTACAGACTCTAAAAGAAAATATTTGGTGCTAAAAAGACATTCTGTTTTTCAGATACCTTTCTAAGATGGTTTTTACTTTGAGACTTTCAGCTGACCATTCCTGGCAAATTATATGAGAAAATAGATTTAATTGAGGATACAAAGATTATGCAGAATAACACAAAAGTTACATACTCAGGAGATGGTATTTAAACTGAACAGCACACAGGACTAGTTATGTTTCACGATATGACAAATATGTCACTTTATTATAGAGGGTTCATTTCTGCAACATAACCCAGTTCTATCATGATATCTGGTATTTTCTTGGCAAAGCATTTACAATGGATCTACTGTTGAGATCCACTGAGTACCTGTGTTACCTGTTAGTTATTGTGTTCCTCCTTGTTCCTCTCCCTCTCCTTGTTTTAGAATGGTTACTTTTCCTGGATACTGTACAACTAGATAGTAATGCTAGTGAGATATTTAATCATTGAACAGTCCAGCCATGTTGGAGGATGTCTGGGTGGCCTCATCATATTGATCCTGCCTCATTAGTTTTGTGGTGAGGGATAAGATTTTACATTGCTCAGGTTAAATAAGTATTGCACATCAGTGGAATCAATGCAAATGTGGTTTGCAACGCATGATTTTACTAATGAACAGATTTGTTATTTTTAATTTTATTAGATATTTTTATTGTAAAATTAATGTGTTTTACTGTTGAAAATGTGGGAAATTATGAAAAAAGAAAATCTAAACATTACATATTTCTCTTGCTTAAAATGATCATTTTTAATCTTCTGGTATACTGTAATTTCTGTTTATGTGCACATACATGCTTGTATGGCTGTCCATGCACACTAAACACATTATATGCTCATACAAATATACATCAATCCCATGCATATCTAGACATTTTTACACAGTTTGGGCATATAACTGAACTATATTGTACATCATCATCAAAATCTAAAAGAAGAATTTCAGTAGTTGTAGCACTATCTCTTATGCGAATATATCATAACTTACTGACCTAGCTTTGGACACTAATGTACAAAATTCCTTTCATTAAAATACCATTAAGTTTCCATGTACCCAGTGAAGGAATACTTATATAGACAAAAAGACATGGATAAGAATATTCATAGCAACTTATTCCTGATGGTCCACAGCTGGGAACAATCCAAATGTATGTCAGCTTTAGAATGGATCAACACATTTAATGTACCCATACAATATGATGCTAGTCATCAGTGAAAAAAAACTAATAGCTGGCTGCTATATGTCACTGTGGATGATTCTTACAGAAATTCTGTTCACTGGGAAAAACCACAAAAGAATACATTCTCTATCATTCCATTTATATGAAATTCAAGAACAGGCACAATTAATCTAAGGAGATGAGGGATCAGAATAGTGCCTTTGTCAGGGGTGTAGAATGAAGCACAAGAAAATCTCCAGTGTATTGAAAATGCTCTGTGCCTTGATCCAAGTGTGGGTCCCTTTAATTGAACTGTGCAGTTCACTTATGCAAGCTGTCAGTAGACAGAATTAAGAAAAAACTTCTGTGATGCATCTTTGAGACAGAGTTTGACTACATAACTTAGGAATTTCCTAAGATAGAATAATCTCATACATTCTTTAAAACACTTTTAATTAAAACCCACATTCTTCTAAACATGTGTGATCAAAATATATTACAGTAGTCACATAACTTGGATCAATGGCAGAATATACCAGATAAGGTTAGTAATGCTTAGATTTGTAAAAGGATAATAAATTAACTGGGAAGTCATGATTAGAACTCTTACATTCTTATCTGGATTTCATATTGGTTTCAATTTAATCTAGTGTTGAATATATAAAACCTAAATTCAAAGATCAATATAATTGAAGGTGTTGCTCTGCGAACTAGAGTTTACAGAGAGAATTCATAATAGAATTTTTTATCTTGTAAAATGTTCTGGAATAATTCAATTATGATAAAATTAGTAAAGAATTGCATTATGTTTTCTAGGATGTTGCTGGTTTATGGAACAAGGTAATATACATCCTACATTATATTAATTCCACATGTAAATATTCTGCATGATTACTCCGGTATCTGCTATGGTCATGCTCCTTATCAAATATACCAAAATCTCCAGGTGTCACAATAGCAAACATTTTATTTCACACGCACGGCAGCTTCAGGTCTGCTCCTCATACTTGCATAGCAGGACCCAAGTGGAAGAAACCACTACTTGGGGCTCAGGGCTCAGGGTGGAAGCTTCAGGGGGGGCCTCCCTAGCAACACAAGTACACTTAAAGTGTCAAGTGGCCAATGTGCCAATGCCAACCCTAACATCAATGCATAGTAGAGGAGGAAGACTGGGCTGACTATATTCCATATGGATCAGTAATTACTGCTGTACAATAAATAACCCAAAACTTAGTATCTTAAAATAATAAGTATTTCTTCCAAGCTTGTGAGTTGGCCTGTGATTTTGCTGCTCAGGCTGGTTTCACTCATGCATCTGTGGTCAGGTAACACATGGGCTGGGGACTGTTTCATCCAGGATAATCTCAGCTGAGGCAGTGCAGCTCTGTTCCCTGTTCATTCTCCAGTAGGCTAGTGTGGGCTTTTAATAATGGTGACAAGGGAAAATGGGAGCTTGCAAGACACTTGAGCTGAGGCTAAGAACTTACAAGATACCACTTTGTGGTCTTAAGAAAATCACAAACTGGGCCAGATGGGCACACTGCACATTGCAGGGGCACACTGCAGAGGGTATAGATGGAGGGATGAGCAGGGAGTTGTGCCTGCTTTCACAGCCTACCACGCCGACCACTGATTTGAGTAAATGGACCTAGGAACAAGAAATTGCCCTTCCCAAGGGGAGTAGACACCATCTAACTCTTGAGGGCTTGGCTAGAAAAGACAGAGGAGAGGATAATTCATTGTCTCTGCCTGATTGCTTCAACTGAAGCACTAGTGTCCTGCCCTTCACTGGGACTTGCACTGCCATTCTTCCAGTTCTCAGAGCTACACCAGCAGTTTCCCTGGGATTCTAGTTTTCAGCGACAGATCATGGAACTTCTCAGTCTCCATAATTGCATGACCCAATTCCTTGTAATAAATTTTCCCATCTATCTTTGTCTATAGCTATGTCTATGTTCTTATCACATTCTATTGGTTCTGTATCTCTGGATGATCAAGTGACTTGTTTTGGCTGGTGATGCATGAGTAGAAACAATGGCACATCAGTTCTGAGGCTGGGTCCATTGATGTTTCTTGTGCTCCCAGCATAGCTGTTGTTCTAAGGAGGCTGAGAGACAAGTGCAGCAGACCTAGGC